AAAACACTTGTAGAAGTCACTCAACAATTAGGCAATAGTATTTAACTTAGAGATATACACAATCAACTCCTTTTTAGTCTGACACTGACACTTGCCAAACACTACATTATTGGATAATATCAAGTCTGTCTTTTCATATTCAAAATCATTTTCTGGGGTTGAATTGAATAACAACCATTATTCATAATTCTATTAATTACTCTCTTTGACTAAAACAACCTCATTGCAGTTACTAATGGATCTCTTCAGTGCTTATTAACACACTACCTTAAATACAACTGTCATGTCTGTTAGCACAATGCACTTTTACCTTTCTAGTACTTGATGTGCCCATCAATAGTACCTTTAGCTAAGAAAGTAAGAGGTGCTTGAACTGCTGTCTGTTTAATCATCACAGTTTCCATAGAGCTCAATAAATTTTGTTCTTGTCCTTATCTTAATGAAACTGTCCTTTCCCAATGTTTTTTTAAGAGAAATATACCAAGTATTAAAGAAACAAAATGATGGGTGATAATTGAAAATCAGTAGTAAGATATGAGAATTATTTTTAATCTTAAATTATATTGACGAATATGATTACATTTTAACCAGTTAAGGAGTCATATTTTGTAAGTGTTCAACTATTGAGTTGAACTGTGTTACAGTACTGTGTTACAATGTACTTCTTCATTGTGATTTGGGACCTCTGAAAGAAGGCAAAGACAGCCACAAGTCATGTTCAGTGTCTAACTTTGTACTCCTGTGAATTGAGAGATTGCAAAACACATGCTCATTTATCAAAAGGTAAAAGCAAAACAAAATTACTTTTCTCAATTTGAGGTGATTTTTTTTTAAAGATAGAGAGAGACAGAGAGAGAATCTTTTTTAATATTTATTTATTTTTTTTAGTTTTTCGGCGAACACAACATCTTTGTTTGTATGTGGTGCTGAGGATCCAACCCGGGCCGCACACATGCCAGGTGAGCGCGCTACTGCTTGAGCCACATCCGCAGCCCTTGATGTGATTTTAAAGTAGTTTCTTTTGTACCAAATTCAGGACTACAGGAGACAAGTATAAATTTATCATCATGTATGTAATACTTAAAACTACTTCTTATAAAACTGAAATATGAAAGCAGATTTTCAAAATGTTGCAAATGGCTACCTTTCAGTGTCTTTTCCAGTGGCAGTGTTTATTCTAGAATCTTTTTTCTGGTCTTTTACTTCATGACATCTAGCAAACTTTACTGATAATCAGGGGTGAATAACTTATAAATATCTACAATCAGTTTGTAATCAAATCTGATGAAAACATTTATGCATGCTTATTACATTTCTCTATATATTTTCAAATGAACTATTTTAAGGATTGCTATTTAAAACTTTATTCTGTAGATGTTAAACTAGAAATGTTCTTTTTGT